CCTTGATTTTTCAGTTCTCCAGTGAAAACTCTAGCAATTAATTTGAACCGTTCAGGTGCTAATTCTTTTGCTATGGCTCTTATGTCATCAGAAAGGGAAAGAGTCAATGCCTTAAAATTGTGAATTTCCTTATCTCTTAGCTTAGCCTTTAAAAAAGAAATAAAAAAAACTTACTATCGTCTTTCATCAATTCAAAACAATTTTGTTTTATAGCAAACAGAAATTAAATGGTTTATTTTCCTCATTATGCTATCAAAAGTATAGTGTTATAAATATTTTACAAGGATTATTTTCCTACTGATACCATTAGTGGCAAGCAAGCACAATTTTTTTACCATGGATTTAATCTGCTTCCTCTAATACTTCCAGTCCAGCTGACTGTATGAATTGAGTTCCACTACATTTCCTATTGACAGTGATGTTGCCATTAGATGCTCCCAAAAATCCAGATTACTATATGTAATTGACTGTTTACAGCTGTTAAATGTTAGAAATTATTCCTATATTCTCCTGGCTGCTTCCCCAACAACCCCTCTCCCAACTCATTGAACATCATGTTCACTGACGACCTATCCTGGACTTTGCACGTAAATACGACAGTCAAGAAGACACAACAACGCCTCTTCTTCCTCAGGCGGCTCAGGAAATTTGGGATGTCCATAAGGTCCCTCAACAACTTCTACAGATACACCATTGAAAGCATACTGTCCAGGTGCATAACGGCCTGATATGGCAACTGCTCTGCCCAGGACCATAAGAAACTACAGAAGGTGGTGTACACAGCCCAGATCATTACGGAAGCCAACGTTCTATTCATGGACTCTATTTACACGGCTCAATGCCACGGAAAGGTGGCCAACGTCTTCAAAGACCTATCGCACCCTGGTAATGACTTCCTATAACCTCTTCCGTCAGACAGAAGACACAGAAGCCCGAACACATGCACAAGCAGGTTCAGGAAATGCTTCTTTCCGGCCGTGATCAGACTGTTGAATGGACTCTAGCCTTAAATAATGTATCCTGTATGCCTCCAAGTCTTTTTGATTTGTAGATCCTTTGCTTGCTGTGATCTGCTTGTACCGCTCGTAAACAAAGCTCTTCACCGTCCTTCAGTACATGTGACAATAAAAACAATCTACCTGAAACTCAATATTCCAGATAAAGTCCCACTGTGACCACTAAACAACATTTGCTTACCACCTGCTCTCAGGGACAATTAGAGATTCCCATGAAGGAATAACAAAAATCATTTTAAAAAACTGTACTATATTATACATTACCTCCAAAAGCTCATCTACCCTTCTCGCAACAGCAGCAAAGTCAAATTCTTTATCTGGAACCATTTTATAGGTGTTAGCCATTTTTTGCTTCACAAGACTAGGTTTCCATGTTAACGGTTCTTCAAAGACCTCATCATCTTCTTCATCCAGTTCACTCTTGTCTACATGCACAACTTGAAGGATTGTGTCATGTAACCTTTCCTTTAGGATCTCATGAAACTTCACTCAAGAGAAAGTAAATAACAAAGGAGGATTAGATAAAGTCATAAATAATCTGCTCAGCGCATATCTGTGGTTTTGGTTACTTTAAAATATAACAGAGAATGGATAGTTCTAAAGAACTATCAGTTTAGTAGCTGCTTATGAACAGATGAAATTAGGAGAAGTAAGCCATTCGGGCCCTCCACTGTTCAAGATCATGGCACATCTGTTTGTGGTTTCAATTCCACACTCACATCTAAATCATAATCTTAAGTAAGAGCATGAATCTACCTCCCTCTTAAAAATTTAACGGCCTTCCTCCACTTTGTTCTGAGATACAGAGTTTCAAAGATGCTAATCTTAGGAGAAATTGGCCCCGATCTGTCTCTGCAAAGCAGAACCCTTAATGATATAAACAGTGACCCCTAGTTCTGGGCTCACCACAAGAGAAAGAAGTCCTATCCACATGCACCTTGTCAAAATCATTTAGGATCTTTCATGCAATCAAATAACCCCTCATTCTTCTAAACTCCAGTGGAAATAAGCCCAGACTGTCCATCCTTTCCTTATAAAAAAGAAATCAATCCACATGTTCCAAGTGGCAATCTTGCAAATCTCCTCTGAACCACCTCCATCACATTTACATTCTTCCTAAATAGAAGATTAAAACCATACACAGTATTTGAGATTTGGCCTCACCAGTGCCTTGTATAAAGAAAGCATAATATTATTACTTTCAATTCAATTAACCTTCTTAGACTCTTACTGCACTTGCATACTAACACTTTGCCAGTTAGCCTTACCTTAGTTGTTGGTAAGAGTTGAGTCTATTATTGAGGATGCAGGGTACTAAGGGGTACATAGTAGGTGGATTGGCTATGATAAATTGCCCCATAGTGTCCAGGGATGTGTAGGCTAGGTGGATTAGCCATGCTAAATGCAAGGTTACGCCGATAGGATAGGGGGCTGGGTATACATGGGATGCCCTTCCAATGGTCAGTGCAGACTCGATCAGTCTCTTACCACACTGTAAGAGTTCTAAAATAGGCTCTGTCTGCATGGCTTTGTCAAGGGGAGGTCATGCCTGACAAAACAATTAGAGTTGAATGAACGAGCAAGCCTGTGATGTGATCTGTTTGGATTTCTAGAAGCCCTTTGACTCATGCCACACACAAGACTGCTAAATAAGAGCCCATGGTGTTAGGGGGCAAACTACTGGCATGGATAGAGGATTGGCTGACTGGCAGAAGGCAGAGAGTGGAGATAAAGGGGTCTTTTTCAGGATGGCAGCCAGTGACTAGTGGAGTTCTGCAGAGGTCTGTATTGGGACAACTATTCTTGTTACACATTAACGATCTTGACAAAGGACCAAAGGGTACTGCTGCTAAGTTTACAGATGACATAGGTGGAGGGACAGATACAGTTGAGGAAGCATGGAGGCTACAGAAGGACTTGGACAGGCTAGAAGAGTGGTATAGTGTGAGGTTGTGCAATTTGGTAGGGAGAATAGAGACATAGACTATTTTCTAAATGGGGAAAGACTTTGGAAATCTGAAGCACGAAGAGACCCAGGAGTCCAAGTTTAGGATTGTCTTAAGGTTGACATGCAGGTTCAGGTGGCAGTTAGGAAAGCAAATGCAATGTTAGAATTCATTTCAAGTGAGCGAGAATACAACAGCAGAGATGTACTGTTGATGCTGTACAAGGTTCTGCTCAGATTGCATTTAGAATATTGTGAGGAGTTCTGGGCCCTATATCTAGAGAAGGATGTGCTGGCTGTGGAGGGGCTCCAGAGAAGGCCTACAAGAATGATGAGACAACAAGGTGCAGGGCTGGATGAACACAGCAGGCCAAGCAGCATCATAGGAGCAGAGAGGCTGACGTTTCAGGCCTAGACCCTTCATCAGAAAAGGGGGAGGGGAAGGGGGTTTTGAAATAAATAGGGAGAGAGTGGGAGGCGGATAGAAGAGAGGATAGGTGGAGAGGAAACAAACAGGTCGAAGAGGCGGGGATGGAGCCAGTAAAGGTGAGTGATCCTGGGATTTGGGCTCTAGTTGTTTAAGGAATGATTGAGCATTCTGGGTCTGTATTCAATGAAATTTGGAAGTATAACGGGGGAATCTGATTCAAACAGAGTACTGAAAGGCCTGGATAGAAGCTGTCTCCAGTTGTAGGAGAGACTAGGACCAAAGGATACAGCCTCAGGTTAAAGGGAAAACCGTTTAGAATTGACAAGGAATTTCTACAGCCAGGGAGTAGTTAATTTATGGGATTCATTCCTGCAGAAGGCTGTGGAGACCTACTCATTGGGCATCTTTAAGATAGAGATAGCTAAGTTCTTGATTAGTAAGGGGATCATGGGTTATGGGGAGAAGGCAAGAATACAGGGTTGAGAAACAATTGAATGCCATGATTAATTGGAGGGGCAGACCCGATGGATCGAAACTAAAATCTTATAAAAATCAAAAGAACGCGGATGCAGTAAATCAGAAACAAAAATGGAAATCGCTGGAAAAGCTCATCACATCTGGCAACATCTGTGGAGACAGTTAACATTTCGGGTCGAGTTCTGGGGAAGGGTCATTCAACCCGAAACTCTGATTTCTCTCCACAGATACTGCCAGACTTGCTGAGCTTTTCAAGCAATTTCTATTTTTGTTCATGAAATCTTATGGTCTGATGAGGAATGCACAGGATAGCAAATAACTGAAAAGTGGGTCAGGGCTCCATGTGATGGACGTGTACATGAACTAATGACGTCGAGGTACAGGTGTTGAACTAGGGTGGACAGAGTCAGAAGTGACACGACACCAGGTTATAGTCTAACAGATTTATTTGCAATCACAAGCTTTTGGACTGTAGCCCCTTCATCAGATGAAGTGAGAGCGAACACAGACACAGAATTTATAGGCAGAGAGATCCAGGGCAAAGAGATCAAAAGAACATACAAATGGTGCGAGCGAAGTATTGAATAATAAGTCTCTGCAGGTGATCAAAAGCGTCAGACGATTTACAGTGATGGACACCCAGCACAGCCAATAAGAGTGCAGTAGTGTCGGACCTACTGGTCACAGACGGCATTGCGACGCGAGGCTTCAAAGATGGACGTACAGGTCAGCCAATGACAGAAGATCGTGGTGGGCTGGACACAGAGATAATAGGCGTGCCGGTACCCAAGGTGTAGAGCTGGATGAACACAGCAGGCCAGGCAGCATCAGAGGAGCAGGAAAGCTGATGTTTCAGGTCTGGACCCGTCCGCTTTCCTGCTCGTCTAATGCTGCCTGGCCTGCTGTGTTCATCCAGCTCCACACTTTGTTATCTCAGACTCCAGCATCGGCAGTTCCTACTATCTCTCAATGACCTAAGAGTTGGGGAGAGCTGTATCCACAGAACAGCCAGTGACCAGAAGGGGTGGTCTGGGCTGTAATGATAGACTAACAGAGTACCCAATGACAGAAATGACGCGATTGTAGGCGGTGGGTCACACCTGGCAGACGAAGAAAACAGGAATTGCCAGCCTGCGGAGGTGGAAGTGGACAAGGTAATCCACGTCCAAACTTACCGCATTTTCCTCGAATACGCTGGACCTCCGCTTCCGACTCCCGGTACTTCTTCGACCGTCTGCATCGGCGGACTGCCGGACGACCTTCTTACGTACCGGCAAACCCATTCGCCCCAGCGGCACCTGCCCCTTCATTTCTTCCATATCCATGGTGTCGTCTGACTGATCTCCCAGGCCCTGGAAAACTTCTTCATCATCGTCGTCCATTGCTGCCTTTCACTTCTTCGCCTGGCCGCTCGACTGTTAAACCGCCGTCGCCGGCTTTGAACTGGGGCCCGCGTGCCGAGCGGGTCGGCCACGTGACCACCAGACTCCCGCGCGCTGGTCTCTATCACCTGGCAACGGGGCGGAGCGCGGGTCACGACCCCGCCCCATCTGGTGACGAGGAGCGCATGCGCGGAAAATTGAACATTGGGAAGGGTTTATACAATCGCTATGTTGCTTTTGCTGGAGGGTTGGCTCTCTGCGCTATATACCCCTTAGTTGTTCAGATAACGACCGTGGACAGACTATTCCTGTCACTTCTTTGTCGCTGTATCTAATACTCAGGCATTCAGCTAAAACAGACATTTTGTGGTGGCAGCGGGCCACAGGACGTAGGAGCAGAATTAAGCCATTCAGCCCATTTAAGGAGATCGTGGCTGATCTGATATTAATTTTCTTTATGTATTTTTCAGAAATTCTTCCTCCCCTCTATTGCAAATCTCTTTTTCTGAGGCTATGCGCCCTGAGAAAATGATAGTGGACTGTCTTCTTCAGGAACCGCAGCAGGAATGGTTTGATAGAGTCGGCCTGGCAAGTTATGAGTTAAATAGAATTTGCAGCGCAGAAATCGACCATTCGGTCCAGCCAGTCTGTGCTGGTTGATGTAATAAATGTCGCTGTATTTGCTCTTTAATAACGAAAGAGATTCGCTGTGGTGTAAAGTACTGAAAATTCTGAAAGGATAAGAAATGGAGTATTAATTAGTATTTCCAAGAATTAATTAAGCCCACTGTTTTTCTAAGATGATAAGATGGCAACATTTGAGCATATAAAGACCTGCCTTTCAGCAGAAGTACATCATATGGTCTGCAGTCTTGGACTGACGGTGTTGAATAGGCCAGAGCTTGAGCGCATCATCACTGTATCTGGAGAGATTTGCTGGGAGGCTATTACATTTTACCTACACACTTCAGATGCAGGTTTTTACTTTCTTTCCTTTGTTATTCAAATCGATTGTAAAATTACTTTGCAAAATTGCATTCTTGAGAGATGGGAAAAGGTGTAATCATGCTTTCTAAACTCACGTTACAGAGAAACATGACCTGGACTACATAGAAAGTGTGAGAAGTCTGGGACCTGTATGTAAAACTGTCCATTTATATCTACTGTCACTCAGTACACAGCACTTCAACAATCAATATGGACTGTGGTTTAAATGGACTAACAACAGAGAGGTATGGTTCAGAAAATTGACTTTGTACTATTTTCACCCAAAATAAACTTTCTAGACGATCTAGTTTTCTTGTGTGCCAGCATCTAAAACTTCCCAGAGCTATGACATGTTTTTATAAGTAACTTTCTTTAATCTTTCCAGTATCTTAATTGATTTATATAATGTACTAATTTCAATATGAGGTGTTTTTCTTCTATCAAATCCTGCTATTGCATCTTGACATAACAGGAGCAGCATTATGAAGTTCTCCAACTAATCTGTCCTGTACCCACAACAATGTTTAGTTATGTGGTGAAGAAAAATTGCAGAGCACAAAAGTGTTCTAGTGACAGAGCTATTAGAGATAGGAAGTATGAGGTAGCAAGAGGCACATGCTAGCTGGAAATGGGGGAAATGTAAAGGGGAACATAAAGAAAAAACAACAACTAAATTTTCTGTATAATATTAAATGACACCCTCATCATTATGATTTGCTTAAAGGCAATTTCATAACTAGAGCTGACACTGCCTCCTACTGTAATAGTACAACCTATGATTTGATTTGTGGCTCAATTCGCTTGCTAATGTAACCCACTATCTCATTTAAATAAAACAAAGAACTGCAAGTGCTGACGACCTAGTCTACTGTATTTGCTGTTCAGTGTGGTCTGTTCTACAGGTGAAAGCCAGGTGACCACTTTACAGAGCACCTATGTTCTGTCCGTTAAAAATGATCCCGAGCTTCCAGTTGCCTGCCATTTCAGCACACCATTGTGTTCCTACATTAGCACTTCGTCAGAGGCCTGCTGCAGTTTTCCACCAAGTCTCAGTGCATTGGGGATTGTGCAGTCTCTAGGACTCGGCATTGGGCTCGATAACATTGGAGCCTGATTCCGTTCATCCTTGCTTTTTACACGTCCTGATCCTGTCACGACATGGGTTACTTTCAGCACAGCCACCCCGTTCTCTGCTAAGCTCAGCTCTCATTGCCACTTAGTCAGCTTCTTTTCCGTCCTGGCCTACTATCAACAATACCCTTGACAGCCAACTCCTTACATGGCTCTCTGTTGGTTCCATTTCCACCTATCCACTCACATCATCTTTCCTCCACTCCCCTCCCCAACATAAATACCACTTTTTCCTAGCTGCTATCAGCTGTGATGAAGAATCACTGCACTCAAAATATTAACTCTGCTTTCTCCCCGTAGATGCTGCCAGACCCGATGAGTTTCACCAGCAACTTCTGCTTTTTGTTCTGTCTTACTTGCCCTTCATTATTATGATACCCATCTTGAACAATTGCACAAACATCAACAAAAGAAGACTTGTGGTTGATTGAATCGATATTATATTTGCTGAAAGAAAATTTAAGCCTTTTTGTAAATTGAACAAGAGTAGCCATTTAAGCCCCTTGAGCTTGTTTTACCATTGAGCTAGATCATGATTGTTCCCACACACGTATTGCACCCTTGCTATTTCATGTATGTATTGCTTCAAAGTGTTACATAACAAATCTAAACAGAAAAACTCCTGAGAAACCTGTGTGTTTCCTTGGTTTTAGTTGTTTGTTGAAGCATTTGAAGCCATCAGGAGTGCACAACCCACCGCTGTATCCCTCAGCTTGATGAAGTTAACAGCTTGTCTAGAACGAGCTTTGGGTGATGTAAGTATAAAAGCAACTTTAAAAGAAAAATTACAAGTTATTCTTCAGTGCTTTGACATTGAGGGATGGCAGCACTTTTACTTCCACCAGTATACAAAATAGAAAGGTTTGAAAGAGAGAGATGAATTGACATAAATCCTCTTGATGCCCATCCTGTCTAATAAACAATTGAATCAGGTGCACCATCCGATGCAGACTAGTCATATTGACTGCTTGTGATGCCAAAAGCACAAAAAAGTCTTCGCCTCTTCTGGAGTACTTTGTGAGATTCTGGTTGCCCTGCTATAGGAAGGATATTATTAAATTGGACACGGTTCAGAAAAGATTTACCAGTATGTTGTTGGGAGTGAAGGGTTTGAGTTTATAAAAATAGGCTGGGACTTTTTTCACTGGAGCGTAGGCGATTGAGGGATGACCTTAAAGAGGTGTATAAAATCATGAGGGGCATAGATATGGTGAATAGCAAGAGTCTTTTCCCTAAGATGGGTAGTTCAAAACTAGGGGGCATATTTTTAAGGTGAGAGGAGAAATATTCAAAATAGAGGAGAAAAACAGAAGTTGCTGGAAAAGCTCAGCAGGTCCGGCAGCATCTGTGAAGAAAAAATCAGAGTTAAAGTTTCAGGTCTGGCGACCCTTCCTCAGAACTCACTTCTGAGGAAGGGTCACCAGACCTGAAACGTTAACTCTGATTTTTTACACGGAGAGTGATTGGTGTGTGGAATGAACTGCCAGAGGAAGTGGTGGATACAAGTACAGTTAAAACATTTTGAAGATATTTGGATAGGTACGTGAATAGGAAAGGTTTGGAGTGATTTGGGCCAAACGCAGGCAAATGGGACTAGTTAATTTGGATCAGAGATAGTAGGAAGTGC